CACAATCTCTGCTCTTGGCTGACAGGAAGCGCTGGTGATGAGTGGTTGTCGGCTGTAAGTCAGATAGGAAAGCTGCACGAAGGGAGTAGATGAGAGGTCGAGCTTAACGAAATGGCTGACTGTGTGCCACACAGCAACGTTAAAGCTGCGTCAGGGCCGCTTTGATAGACCTCACACCGCATCTATTGTCACCGTAAATGCCATCCGAAGATGCGACAGCGTGGCGCGCGATTAGCCCTCCTCAGCCCACGATCTGATTTCAATTTCACGCTGACAAGTAGCCGGTTTGTTGCACCGTTATCTTTCAAGGCTTTTTGATGTGCCGTCGATCAGCGGCGACAACAGGCAAAAACGGCGCAAAGACGTCTGAAATTAACATCAATCATGAAGTCGACAGCTCCCACCGGCGGGGTGAAAGTTGATAGATGACAAGCGACGACCGCCCCCGACCAAACCCGTGGCTCAGGCAAGCCATTTGGCTGGTCGGTTGATTGCAAGCCGATAGGGGACCTTGCTCGATTTGTTTCGGTGAGCCTGCAAGAAAAAGCGGCACAGATTGTCTCTGCGCATCTTGTCGGTGAGAGGTAACACAGCAAGTGTGAGACGTTATCGATGACAAGGACGTGCAGGCCGGAAGATCGGGACTGATTTCTGGGCAGACCAATGTGCTGCGAATGGCATCATGGGCCATGGCAACCACAGGAATATTCCAGATGGCGAGGAATGAGCGAAGATGGGCACCATCTTCACTCTCAGCTTGGCATGGGCTGCCTCTTCCCGACCGCTTGTGGTTGCCGGCTTGGTATCTTGGAAACACGTCCCTTTTGGCTTTGCATGTTTCCCTTCTCGGGCTTACTGTCTTGTCTCGACAGTGGAGGGCGCCAGGGAGCCAACCCCTCGAGTCGAACCCCAGTGACCAAGACGGCTTCCTGCGACGTCGATGGGTCCTGGCCAAGAGATTTGCGCGCCGAAGAAGAGGGTAAGGAAGCGAGCCGCCGCCCACCCAAGCCCATCAAGCCCTGCACGTCGTCGGGTCACAGAAGTGAAAAGAAACCCAGGGCTAGGGGGCACCAAAGCAGCACAAAAGATACAGTTGTCTTGGCGCGGGCCTTGGCGTTGGGCACGAAGTGTGGATTGGCTGGGCCGGCTTGCGAGGTTGGCTGACGGGGCTCTCATCAGAGGCATGCCGGCTCATTAACGAGATAAAATGAAAAGAAGCAAGGTTGGAGTTGTGAGCCAGAAGAAGCGGTTTAGGGCGGCGCGCACACCGACTCGAGGTTGCTGTGAGGACCGCGGTGGACGACAACCTTCTCATCCATCCTGGATGCTGGAAGCCTGGGACCGACATGGTTGAGTGGTTTGCCAAGACCGTGTTGGAGGTTGACGAGTGGACGAGAAGAACGAGATGGAGGGTCGCGGTCGTGATCAGTCGAGCAAGTGAGCAACGGGGACAATCTTAGCACTCGGAGAGCCGTCTGGGCAGACGTGGGAATGCGTCGGTCCAATGCGATGTTGAGTGTGCTTGTGCAGTAGCTGTGCTTGGTGTTTGGCGCAAACTGCTGGCGATGAGGCCCCCCGGAGAACCTAGAGGAACTCGGCGGAGGGGCCCGCTGGCTGCGACAATCCGCTTGGCGTACCAAGCTGCCGCGTGCCGCCGCCCACGTTGGTGGGATTTTTGGGTTTCGGGGGTTTGTGAGACGGGAAATATGGGAATGTGGTATGATGGTGAGGAGGTTTCGCAGAGAAGATGGCGACAGAGGGCAAGGTGTGCGTAGGCATCATGTATGTCCCAGTCGAGGCGTGCCACGGTGTAGCATTCGCCGAAATGCCTGGTTGAAAGCGTGGTTCTAACGGCGTCTGATGCGCCAGGCACTCTGTAAGGTGTCTGTAGTAGTCTAGGTACCGTCCACGTCGGCGTACGTCAAGGAGGGCCACTGACAGAGGCACGCCGGCCCCCAAAGAGCGCCGTCATGCCATGTCATGTCATTGCAGGCGCGGACAGCACCGTGGTAGCAAACACCGGGCAGACTCGAGAGCAGCAGGCGCCGGGGTGCGGATCGCGAATGCTTAGGTATCCGTACGGATAGGGATAGGTATGGGCGAATATCCGAAGAGTCGTTCATTCCGTCGGTTGGAGTTGAGTCGAGTCAGTTCTGGTCGAGCCGCGGCCGTCTCGATAGAGGGTGTAAGTGTGCAGCAGTCCGGCGACAGGGATGAGGCAGTGGCGGGTGCTTGGAAACGGGTCCCGAGAAGCTTGAAAGGCAGGCAGATGTGTAATGAGAGCCGTTAGAGGCACTGGATGATTGGACTCGGTACTTGGGTGGTCTTGGCGAGTTTTGGGTGGTGTTCTCAGGTTATTTTGGGGCTGGCGACCGGATCCTGGGACTGGGGAGCTGTCTAGGCGGGCAGGGCATGCGGTCCGAAGGTCGTGAGGGATGAGATATGAGATGAGATCGCCGGAGAGTTAACGTGCCTGGCTGATCTTGTGTCGGGCGGGTGCTGTGAATGGTAGGGTTTTCCTTGAAAAGAGGTCCTTTGGGATGGGTAAAAGTGGGAGACGAGAAGGCGATGATGTGGTTCTGTCTCTTTCTGAAGCAAACGGAAAGAGTGTTCATCGGGCCTTCCTCCGTGCTGTCGTCCAGTACCATTCTCCATTCCAGGAGGGCAGGATCAGGTGCAGCAGGTGCAGCTGGACCAGCAGGTGCCTGGCTGTGGCCCTAGCTTCCCCAGCTACACCTCACCTGCCTTCAGCTGTCTTGGAAGGCACCTACGGGCAGGTACTTGCTGCGATACCTGCCTCGTGGGCAAAGTAGAGGTTCCCTCTTGACTTTCCATGCCCTTCATTCCTAATCAAACTGAAGTGCTCTTTCCTCCAAAGGCTATTTCTTTTCGGCGTCGTAAGTAGAGAAGGTGCCATGTTCCGAGGTAATAGTCATTCTTTCCAATTAAATACTGCACACATTCCTAAAAGACTCTCTTGCCTCACCTGTATCCTACTTCTACTTCTAAAGTGTAAGGCAGGTAGGTGTAAGGAAGGTAAACCCCTGCCTTCCCTCAAGACACCCAGTGCCTGCTTCCCGGGCCCCTCCCCTCCATCTCGTGCCCCGTCCTCCATTCTCCTCCTCCACCCTTCCGCCGTCATCCTTGGATCCCTCACCTCGCCCTTCCCCTTTCAGCAGCACCAGCACCACCACCATCCTGTTTGCCTTTGCCAGTGTTGGTATTCCCCCTCCCCTGGAAGCTTCCCTCCTCTCCACCATGCAGCTGGCAGACTCACACTTCAACTCAGCATCAAGACCCAGGCTGTCTGGGTCTGGCCAGGGCACCGCAGCGCACCCCTCACATATCCTTGCTGCTCCATTGCTGCTACGGCTGCTGCGTTGCTGCTGGTTGCATGCCCTCCAAGGCCCACGGCGCTGTGCGTCACATTCAAGATGTGCACCCTCCCTCCGCCTCTTGCAAACGAGGAAGGGGCAGAAAAAAAAAAGTAGAATGCCCTTGTACTTAGATGAGAGAGATCCTCCGCATGCAAGACCTGCTTGCCCTACAGACACAGACACCCGACTTATTCTTTTTTGCACGTCCACCTACCTCATGCCCATCCAGGTGTCTCTGTGACGGACGGCTATTTGCTTTTCCTCTCGCATCATAACGTAACCGACGCATGCCCAGACTTTTACAACACCATTCTCGAGCTTCTTCTCTTCCCAGTTGTCTTATCCTCTCCCCATTCCACGCCGTCCGCGCCGCTGCTCCCCGCAGCCAAGATACTGGACTCCTTCTCCGGCGCATGTCTACCACGAACTCGGGTCCCGACTGTTGCGTACCTTTCCGCTGCATTCTTCCCGCTTGGGTACTTCTTCGGTGGCTCCATCTCGTTTAGCCAAGCTCATCTCTGCGCGGCGCACCGTCGACTCGACAGCTGCCATCCCGGTCAACGATCACCTGCTCACCTCATCTCGTCGGCCTGGTCTGGTCTGGTCTGCTACCCAAAGTCACAGCAGCAGCAGCAACCCAAACCATATTTCCTGACCCTTCGGACCTAGGAGACGCGCTACTGCCACGCCACACCCCGTCTCGTTAGAACTCCCTCTCTTGTATCGACAACAACACCATCTCCAGGCAAATCTGCGCCTTGTGAGGCCCCGCCAGCCTTGGCATAACCGCCTCTTACATACGCCGAACCGCTTCCATAAAAGAAGACGCTCCGCAGCCAAACCCACGCGCGCCCACGATACCCAGCCCTGCTCAGCTTTGCCGAATCACCAACACCGGAGTTTTTTTTCCTCTTTGCCCAGTCTTTTTTTCGGATCCTCCTCCTTCGAAAATTACCTTTTTGTCGACCAGCCTTATTACACAGAAGGTTTTCCGCACATGGCAAAGCAAGAGTAAAAGTCAATACCACATCAGACTTCACCTGAATCAGCATCGACCCGTGCCAACAACCACAACTACCGCCCTCTGCCTGTATTCGTACCGTCGCACCCGTCCGAGCTATCGTATCTTGCCAGGAGCACACAACGGCCAGAAACGCTCTGACCGTCTCTGTTCGATTCGCAAGCCAGTCGACAGACGCCCCTTTCCTGCTTTAGACCGTGTAGTCAGTCCACCATCAGCCATCTCCGCGCGTAAATCCACACCGTTGGGGCTTTTTCTTTCTTTCAGCTGGTCGGTCCACGGAAGACGTCTCGTTTCGCGACTGCGATCCACTCTTTTAGGGGTCCAGCCGAAGTGCGACTTTGCAACCAACATCTGCTGGCCGCGAATTGCTCCCTCAGTCCCTCATGCTGACCGGGTTTCCACAGCTGTCGTGAAGCCTACCGATGCGGCCAACAGACAACTGGCGTAGCGTATTCCTGCTGCCCCAAAGCTCAAAAAAGAAGAACAAGAAATCCACAAAAGACACACCCTCGCCGCCGCTGCCCCCGCCGCCGCGCAAGATATCTTTGCCAAAACCTTCACCGCCACCGCAGACTCAGAACCCTCCCCGACGACACACGATGTCGGGTCCTAACCCCCGTACGACGCTCCCCGTCCAGAGCCCCGACTCAGCGGACATTTCGCCCAAGACCCCGTTGCAGCCCAAAGACAAGTCCAAGGCGGATTACTTCTCCCTCGAGTCGCAGAAGAAAGAGGAGGATGCTAAGGGTGGAGATGCTGGAGCGTTGAGCCGTGCTACGACACTCTCGAGCTTTGCAAGTCCGTCTTTGGAGAGCGCAAAAGGAAGCTTCTCTGCCGAATCGTCCAGGACCGAGTCGTTCGCCGGAAGGCATAGGGGGTCGTCGATAGGATCGCTGACGTTTGCACCGGTTCGAAACCTATCGCTGCCGCAAGGAGCCAAGAGAACAACAGACAAGGAGCGCATTAGAGCGTCGTCTCCTGCTCATGACAGGTAAGCGCAACAATTTCCTCGCTGTCCCTCGTTTGAAATGCACACTCCACCGGAGACGTTGGACGTTGAGGCTCCGAGTTGGGGCAGCCGAACCTTTTATCAGGTCGAGCGAAGATGGGCAATGTCGCCGGCAAAGTCGGATGCACAAGCTGCAGTGTGGCATGGGAGCCTGTCTAGCTCATATGCTTATGCTGCCTTACCTACCGTGATATCTGTATACCTCACGCAGTGCAGCAGCTTTCCAGTCGATCGGCAACATGCAACGAATGAAGAACCTCCTGGGTCCAGTCACAGCCGACGTTTCCGCGGCATACATATCTGCAAGCCAACTTGTCCTGGTTGGCGCAAACAACAGTACATGAAGGATAGTTTGGACTTGTAGGGTGCGGCCGTCACTCACACGTACCCACCTCTTATGACTTCCCAAAGCAGCAGTTGGGCAGCATGCTTGATGCGGGGGAGAATGCGACAGTCGACTGGCTGCCCATTGAAAGCTGCCAAAGACGGGGGATGCGGGATGCGGGTGCTGACTCCAGTGTCTGACGGTCGTGGAGCTGGGCCGGGAATGGTGGGGTTCGACGACACTGCCGCCGCCGCATCCCAAGTCTAACCTTAGTCATGACGGCGTCTCTGCGGGAAAGGACCCCTTCTTCATGCGAAACAAGCATCAACCGAGTTGCCAATGTTGTTGCTAGGACGAACTGCCTGGGATTGCGCCCATTGCACAAACAACAAACAACAAAAAATATTCAAGAGGCGGAGGCGGAAGGCGTCGTTGTCTACGGTGTTGAAGCCTCTCGACCATCGCCGCACGGTTTATCCCCCTCCATCCGAATGCAGCGGCCAGCAGAACGTTGCAATTTCCCACACGATCACACGACACTGCTAGAAGAGGAGGCGCTGCAATTCGCCAGGGCTGTTCATCATTGACCCCACTACCCCGCTGATTGCGCCTGTGCCTCTTCGTTTACCCTTCACAAAGGAAGGAGGCCGAGGAGGCGCCAAAGTCGCTCATCCACAGCCACGCTTGGCCCGGAATGAGCCGTTTCTAAGCTGGAGGGGGAACGGACGCTGTCAGTGCTGTGTCGCAATCCATCCAACCAGTTTCCCTGCTTTTGGTGTCGGCTGCCTCCAAGTCTCTGTCTCACCACCAAACGCAACACCCAAGGCGCTTGTCGATTTTTCTTCCCCAATCCTGGCCAGTCGCCGTGCCCATTTCCACACTCTACAGCTTTTCTATCACGTCTTCGTCAAACAAAAACTTCGTCGCACAACTCGTTGCGGGCTTTGCTTCTCGCTGACATCGTTTCTTAATGGCAACGCTAACTCAAACCCCCACGCCGGACAGGTTCCAGACACATGTCGCATTCGACAATCTGCCGCTGGGCGAGGCCACTAAGAACAACACGCCGTCGCTGACATTGAATGTCAGACATAAGGGGTACCAGGCACAGAGGAGGTCGCGTACATTCATGGTCGGCGTCGACGAGCACTCCTATTCCGACTATGCGTTGCAATGGCTGCTCGACGAGCTTGTCGATGATGGCGACGAGATTGTGTGCGTGCGCGTTATCGAAAAGGAAGTGCGCACCGATAACGATGCGTACCAAAAGGATGCCAATAAGGTTATGGAGTCGATTCTTAAGCGTAACGGCGCAAACCGAGCCATCAGTGTTGTTTTGGAATACGCCTGCGGAAAACTGCACTCGACCTTCCAGAAGCTGGTGAGTGGCCACGCTGAAATCTCCTGGCGAGCTAAATGGAGAGCACGAAGCTGACGAATATGAACTCAGATCCAAATCTACCAACCTGCTATGCTCATCGTAGGTACCCGTGGTCGATCACTCGGAGGTCTCCAAGGCCTCGTCAACACCCGAAACTCCTTCTCCAAGTACTGTCTGCAGTACTCCCCGGTTCCCGTCGTTGTCGTTCGCCCGACCGAGAAGCGAGAGAAGAAGAAGAATAAGAGACAGAACGACTCGGAGCGACAGACATACGTCAAAATGCTGTCAGCAACGGGGGGCAAGCATGAGGCCGATAGCGAGCGCAGCAGCATGTACGAGGTCGAAATCAGGCATACACCGGACGAGGAAGCCCACCAGGTGGCGAAGGCACTTGGACTGCCTGCTTCTTTCGATCCCACCATTAAGCCAATCGACCCCAATTCGTATCTACAGCCAAGAGGATACAGCAACCTGTCACAGACTACGTCTGCAGCATCGGCCAAAGCACCGCCTAGCACGACCGGCGATAGCGACGACGATGACGATGAGGAGGAAGACGAATTCGAAGTCGTGTCTGGCGACCAGCTCATCAACTCGAACCAGAAGGAAAGGCTCCACAAGATGGAGGTCGGTGAGGCTGCCGCTCTGCTCCGCGAGAACCGGAAGCCGAGTCTTGACTCTACCGGAAATGCAGAGGATGATGAGGATGACGACTCGAAGGAGTCGCGCACTAGTAGCACCGGTTGATGTTACGGACGGGAATGCCAGCGAATTGATGCTGGTTTTCAGGGAATGAGATCAAAAGACGTACAGGAATACATCATCTATGGAGAGGCGTTTTGGTTGCCAACGTGGGCAGGGTATTTTTATTCGAGAGGATGCGTTGCAAAGGTCGCCTTAGATGACCAGGTCGCGATCAAGCGTTTGGCGTAGGTCTCGCTATGAAGAAGAAGCCCACGGGTAGATACCCAACAAAAGAGAGAAATGGCCAGGTACCATTTTATGCTTCCCCATATCGTGACGCAATGTAGCACTGCTCAAGCGGCATCTCGACCAACCTGCATAAGATGCGAAGGACAGCTCCCCATCAAGCTGCAGTGAGTGAGTCTTTCCTCCACGTCGATTGGCCACTTGCGGCAGCCCGGCGGGGCCCTGGGTGGCTTCACCCACCAAATGTGGCTGAAGCTCCAGCTAAGGCCAGGTCATCGTGGCTGGAGCAAACTCCGACAAAGCGTGACGAATGCCATACCTTGTCCTCCCAACGCCCGTCTCAGCAACGGTTGTCCGAACAGATCGACAACATACCGCAGACAATGTCGACCCCAGCCTTGCGAATCCCGCGTTGAAATTTCACCTCGAAACACCAAAAAAAAAAAACCACACAGCTCGCCGATACCAAGCGATGCTGCATCTGTCGCAATCCGAGCACGACGACGAACACTACCACCTCCACAGACACATGTCCCACGCCCATTCGATCCCGACAGCGCGCGAAAGCCCCGCCACAAGCCGCCCCAGATGCCCTGGTTCCGCTTCTTCTCGTCCGCCTGCGACGAGGACGCATGCGCGGCCGTGGACCCCAACGCCGCCCCCTCGACGTTGGGGCTGATATTCTCGCTCTCGCCGTTCCTCCTCACCTTCGCGGCCGTCGCGACGGTCGCCAACCGCTCCATCTTCCCGCGGCTCGCCCGCGTGCACGACGCGCACGACGGCGAGGACCACTACCTGCCCGCCCACGCGCCGGCGACGCTGCGGCAGGCGCACGCGGAGCACGGGCAGAAGAGCGCGCGGCGGCGGGTCGCGGCGGGGGTGTTCTGCGTGACGGTCGGGCTGGCGACGGTGCTGGGGGAGCTGATCCTGTGCGAGGTCTCGGACGTGGTGGGGACGCGGGCGCGGGAGGTCGGGTTGCGGGTGACGGTGCCGACGCTGCTGGTGCTGCTGGTCGGCGTGATCCCGTTCCTGGAGATCCAGAGCGTGGTGGCGGGGGCGGGGTGGAGTTTCCAGAGGGACGGGAGGGGCCGCGTGCCGAGGGTGGCGTGGGGGGTGCAGGGCGCCGTGTTTGCGGGGTGGCTGTTTGCGTTCTGGAGCCTGGGGAGGATGGTCGGGCTGGAGAAGACGCCGGGAGGGGGCGTGTTGAGGGCGTGTCTGGAGCGGATCGGGGTGATTGGGATCTCGTTGATGGCGATGCTAAGCGGGTTCGCGGCGGTGTCGAGCCCGTGGCACACGCTGGGCGCGGTGAATGACCGGCGCAAGAGGCCGGTGACGGAGACGGATATTACGAGGAAGGAGGCCGGACTGGAGGCTACGAACGAGATGCTGATTACCAAGAGGCATCGGCTGCAGGCGCTGGAGCGGAAGGCGCGCGACGCCGCGGCGGCGGCGGCGAGCAGCTCGTCGTCGGGCGGGTTCATGGGCAAGATGCTGGGCGCCGTGAGGGGGATGAACGGCGACGAGGCGGAGATGAAGGCGCTGCGGCTGGAGATTGCCGGGCTCGAGACGATGGAGGCGAACTTGGGCGCGAGCCTGGGCATGATGCGCAGTCGGCGCGAAGCGGACGAGCGGGCCAAGACGGCGTGGGGCAAGGTCCTCGCGGTGCCGCACTTCGTCTTCAGCCTCTACTGCCTGTATCGCATCCTCGCGACCCTGATGGCGACGCTGCGGCGGGCGTACTACCCGGCGGCGAGCTTCAGCTCATCCGACCCGATCAACCGCTTCCTGGGCCTGCTGGCGCGGCACTGGGACCCGAAGCTGGACCAGATCGCGTGGGCGCGGCAGATTTCGTTCCTGTTATCGGGGGTGATCCTCGCGGCGAGCGCCAACAGCGTGCTGCAGACGTTCCGCCTCTTCAGCAAGTGGATGCCGGGCTTGCTGTACCAGGCGCAGGCGAACCTGGCGCTGGTGATCGGGCAGGTGGCGGCGGTGTACGTGATCAGCGCGGCGCTGCTGCTGCGGAGCAACCTGCCGCGGGAGATGGGCAGCGCGGTCGGGGATGCGCTAGAGGGGGCGCTGGAGCCGCGGTTTGTCGACTGGTGGTTTGAGGGGTGGTTCCTGGGCAGCTGCGCGGTGACGGGCGTGGGCGTGTGGATTTCGAGGAAGATTGGGCGGGAGGAGTGGGATGACTTCGGGAGTGAGGAGATGGGGGCGAAGAGGATGTGACGGCACGAGGAGTACTAGAAGAAGTGTCTTGATATTGGCTTGATGAGGAGTCGGGCGTGTATTGTTAGCGATTAGGGATATCATGGGACCATTGTAAAGTATCGATGAAATTCTATCATGAACTTTCTGTCTTTGATATTGACGTATTCGTGAATTATGTTCAGTTTTGTTCGCCTCTGATCCATCTTACACATCTCACAGTTGTACATAGCCATCAGATCCACCAACTCAACAAACCCCTCGCCCTCACACTCTCCTGCTTCTCTTTCTCCTCCATCCCCATATCCCTCCTCCAAGCCCTCTTCACCTCCTCCAACAACCCCTCCTTCGTAAACACATCCACCGCAACCGCCGCCAGCCCCTTGCCCACCTTCAGACTAATCTCATACGCCTCCCTCGTCCCCGCCGCCGCCGCGAACTCGGGGTTATGCGGGCCCTGCCCGCCCTCCCCCGGCGGAATCGCAAAACCCACACTCAGACTCGGCATCGCGTAGCTGATATCTCCCTGATCCGTGCTCGCCATCGTCCGCCCGCGGATCTCGTCCACATCCTCGTCCAGAGGAATCTTCCCCTTCCCGTCTTTCGTGGACAGCGCGTTCCACGCGCGCGTGTAGCTGCGCCCCAAAGGTCGGTTCGGCACGTGGTCCTTGTAGCTCCCCGTCTCAGTGACCTTGAGCTTCGCGCCCGTGGCGAGCGCGCCGGCTTCAAAACAGCGCTGGACCTGCGCGCGCAGCTCCCTCAAGCGCGCCTGGCTGTCGGCGCGCACGACGAAGTCCCCCGCGGCGTACGCGTGGATGATGTTGGGCCGCGCGCCGCCCGAGGTGATGTTGCCCTGGATCACGTCGCCGGGCATGGTCTGCTGGCGCAGCGCGGATAGCGCGGTGTAGGCGGTGACGAGGGCGTCGAGGGCGTTGATGCCCAGCCAGGGGTTCGCGGCGGCGTGGGCCTCGCGGCCGAAGTACTCCACCGAGAAGGAGGTGTAGGCGGAGGTGCGCATGAGGGACGTGTCGGCGACGATGCCTGGGTGCGAGATGAGGTTGAGGTCGACGCCGTGGGCGGCGTAGGCGCCGGCGCGGAGGAGGCGGATCTTGCCGCCGCCGCCTTCTTCCGCGGGGGTGCCGTAGAGGACGACTTTGCCGGGGAGGGAGGGGTGGCGGGAGAGGTAGAGGGCGGTGGCGAGGGCGCCGGCGACGGAGGCGGAGGCGATTAGGTTGTGGCCGCAGGCGTGGCCTATGCCGGGGAGGCAGTCTGGGAGGTGGTGTTAGAGAGATTGGGGGGAGGGTGGGGGAGGGGAGGTGCGTACCCATCTCGGCGTTGAAGGAGACCACGGGGCCTTTGCGGCCGGTGTCGTAGACGGCGACCCAGGCGGTCTCCATGCCGTACGCGGAGGGGGTGACGGACCAGCCGGGGCGGGAGCGCATGAAGGCTGTGAGGGTGTCGTGGGCGATGAACTCTTTGTAGCCCAGTTCGGGGTTGTCGTGGATTTTCTTGTTGGCGGGCCAGAGGTCTTCGGCGAAGGAGTCTACGATGGCGGAGATTTCGTCGAGGGGCGTTGAGAAGAAGGTAGGGTTGGTGGATGGTTTGCAGTCTGAGTGGGAGATGAAGACAAAGTCATCGTCGTCTTCTGCCTCGATGGCATTTGGTGAGATTGGAGTTGCCATTTTGAGATGCGTGCGGTTGCGGTGGGAATCTGAGGGTGCCATCTTGAGAATTGTGTTTGAATCGAGGCCGAGATGAGTGGTGAAAGATGGAAGGTGAAATTGGTGATAAGAGCTGCGACACGACGCGAATGAGACGGGAGGCTGGTGAGGTGAGTGAGGTAGCTACCTCGGTGGGTTTGGGTTCCCCGAGCGGAGGGGCTCCGACGCCGGCCGGTTATCTCCCGGGGTCCAGCTTGCGGGTGGCTTGCGATTGCAAGCTGCCATTTTGGGCTAGCGCTTTCGCTGCTTGTAGGAGGGATCAAGAGGCCTGTGCTGGTGCTGTGGGAGCAGAACTTGATGGATTGCCGACAGGTTGTGAATTTTCCACTCGTTGAATTTGATGCGGTTATCGATTGCGACTTACACCATTGGAGGGCCGGGTTTTTTTTTTTCTGTCGCAAATGACAAGATCGCTGTTATGTAACCGATCCAAAGTCCTTTCTTTGAGAGACCGAGACGCCTTATGGGTGTAGTGGCCGCCAATCAGGGCTCAAGATTTGCTTGCATTGAAGGTCTTTCGAGGTTTTGACCAAGATGCAGAGCCAGTTTGCCATTTTCCATTTTATCAGACACTCGAATTTTCAAAGCGGTTTCAAACAGTTCGTTTGGTAATCCATGCTCAGTGTAGATTGAACACCTGCAACTCCTCAACTCCCAGCTCAACCCTCGCCACCGCCTGCCCGTACATCAATCCATGAACGTACGCATCACCCAGCAGGCGTAAATGGGTTCCCGTCTCGGACGTACCACCAACCTGTGTCTCATCGTCCATGTCCCGGACAATGAAGGGCATTTTACCGCCGGCGAAAACGCAAATTTTGTCTCCGGCCTTGATATCGGGCGGGCCCAGCCCAATGAAACCCTCGGTAGAGATGAAAAATTGACGCCTGCCAGATGCCCTCATCAAATGTTGGATCAACGCCTCTTTGGTTGTCGAGTTGCGGAAGATTTCTAGCTGGGGAAGAGTATCGAAAGAGGTGAGTTCACTGTCCCAGTGCCTCATTAAAAATCTCTCATCATTGTAGCCAGCCTGATTTGCACTCGAGCCGTTGTCATCTAGGAACCCGTCGATCCCGACATCAAGACATATCGTGCACCAAAATGCGTCTGATACGGTACCTCCTCCACGGTATAGCCGATTGGGGTTCCCGTCGATGTCCAACATCTCCCACCACTCGAATAGGTATCTCGGGCTCGTTTCAGTCATGAGAATTCTTTCAAGGCGTCCGACTCTCTCAATCCTATCACAGAACACCCCTTGTAAGCAGAGAATGTTCTCTTCGAAGTTGGAAAAGGGAGTGTAGGTAAGATTCCCGCAAGCATTGTAGCTGTTCAGAAAAGCAAGACGATGGGTAGTCAGATAGAAATCACCCCGGCCGTCGTTCGGGTGGTATTCAGCCCCCCAATCTGGAACCCAAGAGGGGAGCCCGGCAGTGGTTGTTTCTCGATACGCCTGGTTCGCGCAGTGGCTGATAACATCCAGACTCTCGCAGTAGCCCATGACCTCCCGCGTCGTCGACTCAAAGACCTGAGCAGCAGTGAGGGTGTAATCTATTGAAGCCGTTCTGACGCCTCGCGATATTCCCAACAGCCCAAAGACTTTGTCACGAGGGTCTGTTGCTCTTCTAGTACGAAATTTGGAAATCACTTCATCGAACCGCAATTTCTCTCTCTGCAAGCTGGCTCGAACGTTGATCAAGTCTAGCAGCCCTTCCATTCCAACCGTGATGTTGACGTTGATAGTGGTAACGTATTTGTTTCTTTCGAGACAGGAATAGCAACAACGTCTTATGGTTGCATGATTCTTGTAGCTTTCTGCTGCTTTGAGCACATCGGATTCCGATAGTAGCCGAGGCCCGTACTGGTATGTCACTTGTTTTGCAAGAACAGCCTCTTGGACCGTCCAAACGCGCGACCACCATTTGTTGCTGAGGAAATGATACATATGAAACAACTCAGCACGATCCTCCCTTCCTTCTGGCCAGTGCAACTCGCTGTCGGCAGCATGTTTTTGGATAGTCGCCATAGCCTCGAACCCCCACAAAGTCGCTGGACCGAGCCAAACCACGACTTGGGTTGCGCTTGAGTAAATGTCACTCATCCATCGGACTTGCTGATTACGCTCCTGGAAATTCTCTTGATCGATGCAGAGGACGTCCACCCAGAGCATGCGTGCTCGGTCAGGGTATCGAAGATGGCGCAGCGCCGCCTCTAGATTCATAGTGACATTTTTGGCCGTCTGTTGAACTGTAATGAGGCGTGTGTCGCTCGAGTCACCCCATACATATGAAAGAGCTTCGTAGTCATCGGGGCTGTCTAAGGATGTTGTGTGGAGTTCGCAGTTGATACCGTCCGCCTCGTTACCGGCGAGCAGTCTGAGGAGGCGGACTTCGCGTTTAGTGGGGTCTAATACAGTGTACATCGGTAATTGTAATCGCGAAAAAACGTCGGAAGAAAAGTCTCAATGAAGGGATCGACAATCTTGTTTGGTCCAAAATCAAGACACAATACGTTGAATGCTCGGGCTCTTATCTGAATCGACAGTGCTTCACCGTTGCCTGATGTCAGGGTAAACCGTCACCGCCCAAGATGATTTGGAAAATTACCAGGCATCAACTGTGCGGCGCAGACGGGCTGTGATAAGTGTGTTGGCTGAAAGTAGGCGCAGCTATTTGGGGCACAGCAAATTGATTATTACTGGCTAGTAACCGGGTTCAACGGGGTGCCTGCCAAGGGCGCGTGTTGGCACCGTGTTTCCTTGACATTCTAGTAGGCGAAAGGTGGAACAACTTAAGCATCCATGGATGTTGTAGAGCTTTTCGAGAAAGGACTGATCCCTAAAATTTCATTCAAAACCTTTGGCTCCGGGTGCAAGTACCTACTTTAATGGTTTTCAAGATCTCAAGTTCATCGCGTAATTGACATTGTAAACAATAGGGACATAGATTCGACACAATTTGCAAGACCATGTACAGCAGTATTTCATACTGGACTCTGCTGCCTGGGAGCATACCTCTCCATAGCTACACGGACGGAGCTCTACTTGCATTGGACACGTTCTAAAGCACACGAGCCACCGCGGCCATTAGTTCAAGATGAACGACTTCATGAACTCCAAAATAGAGTGGGTACGAGTGGTTCAGATCATGAAAATACCTCGGGTATCCAGAGTAAGTAAAACGAACGCAGTAAATGCAGAAGGCCTTTCGAGCCACGTGCTACACTACAAATCCTTATCCTGTCGCAAATGACAAGATCGCATCGATGCAGCCAAGAGCGAAAGATTTCCCTGTAAGACCAACAGAACTCCACTCCATGTTCTAAAGCAGGTCCTTGATATGCTCATGTTGGGGAAAAGAGTGTAGTCCGAATACAGCATCCTCCCAATACGTCGATCGAGGTCGTTCCCTCGCACTTTGTACGAGCTTCCTATTTAATCCAGACTGAGCGAGACAAGGGCGCCTGCTACATACCAAACACGTGCATTGAGGTCCAGTAGTCAGGTGTGTCTCGGTCCAAAAATTGTAGTCGTCAGATTCAAGAAACACATCCGTTCAGCCCCGCGCCTGCAGCAGTGCCTGACCTCGGAGCGTTTTCCATTGGTTCAAATGTCACCCTGGGTACGTTTACCGCCTTTGTTACCAAACTGCACGACATACGGTTAAGGATGATTATCCCTGTTTTAGTGAGCTCACGCAGAATGGACGGCGCTGCAGCAGCCCCAAACGCCAATGCCGATTAAAGACACACGTTTGCCTAATCGGGAAGTCAGAGGTATCTGGACGAGACATCGCGGGGATCGGGGCGGCAGCCCCAACACTTGGCGGGGGAAAGTTATAAAATGGAAGTCGACTGCAATTGACATTGGATTGAGAATGAAAGTTTTCTCAGCATCAGTAAAGATAGCTCGCCTTTGTCTTTTCGCAGGACGGCCGATATCTTCTCAATTGTTTGGTCCCCAAGAATCCCGCTCGTTCTTGCCACCGGAAAAGATGCAGATCTTGGGGACGGTCTTGCGAAGTTTGGCGCGGATGGAGACTAAACCGTACCCGCTGGACTTGGTCAAGGGGCTTGAGAAGTAAGTCGGTATTATCCGCTACCGCGGTTCTGTCTCTGACGATTATCAGATACTTTGACAGTCCGGAATACTCCGACGTCACGATACGATGTATCACAAGAGACTTTTACGCCCATCGCGTCGTGCTCGCCAGCCAGTCCAAATTCTTCGCGGACGCTTTTCCGGATAGCGACATCGATCCCGCTCTGCTGCTCGAGGGGTCGACGGTTCTAGGGAATGCGAACGCCCAACAAAATCCCGGCTGTCAGCAAATCATCAATTTGCAAGATGAGAACCCGCGGGTTGTGGAGAATGTTCTATGTTTCATGTACCACGCCGACTATCGCGACACTCCATGTCTCAACGTCACGCCTCCGCCTGCTGATCCGATCCTGTTTAACCTCCAGATGTCCGTTGCCGCGGACAAGTTCGAAGTGTCTTGTCTGAAGCGCTGTGCGGTGGAGAAGCTGAGGGACGCTTCTGAGAAACTCTGGAACACGGATGCCTTTGTCAAGGCCATAGCGTACGCCTACTCGGAATCCTCGAGGGTGGACGTCATGGCGAGAAGTGTCTTGGCTGAGGTGGCGGCGAGACACGTGTCTGATTTAAGTCAAATCATAGCCTTCAGGAATTTGTTGGATGAGTTCTTGCAGTTCCACGTCGACTTCACAGAGGCGGTTGTTAAGACTGAGCCAGACATGAGTCAAGGGATGCCGTGTATGTTTTGTGGGCTGGTTGGAGATGGCTGCAGATGTGTGAGTGGATGGTCTACTTAATTATGGGGCGTTTCTATTGAAATCAGATGTTGATGTTTAGTTTGGTCATCTCGAGAGAAGTGTGCGTGTCTGAGGCAAACTCAATTCATGGCTTGACCGGAAGAAGGGGGATGTCAACTTGGCTGCTCCTTTAAATGATCACTATCACAGGCACTCAGTAGCAGTTGGCCATCGAATTTCAATTTCACTGGAAAAAACAATTTACTTTTCAATAGTTGTTGTTATTCTAGATCTTGAAAGCTGGCCTCGTTAACGCAGTCGCTGAAGTGGGATCAGCCTATGGTTTAGTCACGTTGCTTCTCGACTACCCTAGACGGTCATGGAAATGTATTGTGAGACTGCAGTATAAATGAATGAACCACTTCGATGTCACATACATGAACAGAAAGCCGTATAATAAAGGACAACTGCATAAGTCGACAACAAGACGCTAAGCTCGAAAATATCACGGAAGAAAATGGAAATAAAGAACCCTTGCTACATATGTAAGGGTCCCCTGACTTCCTTCAGCTATCGTCTGGATCAACTCTGAACCTAAGGCACCTTAGCTTGAAAGCACCATCTTCCCCTCAACACCTCTCGGCAAAAGGCGAGATGGCCTTTAAAACGAGAATGACCACCAAGACTGACGATGCCAAGAGCACCGCTCCTCGACTATTTGACATTCAAAAGTGTTGCGGCTCATACCGTATGCGCTGCAGCAAGATTGAAGACCAATGGCCGACAGATGACGACATGAAGCTGGACGTTTGGGCCGGGAAGCACGGACTGCTCAAGGCTGCCTGCGACTTTGGAGCCTTCGAAGGCACGATGATCATGAGTGAATCTGAGGAACTGCTCGACGCCATCTGCGACCTCGACGAATCCGAGGAAGAAAATGCTAGACCTTCCAAATACAATAAAGATGATTCATCCGAGAGCAGTGAGGACGATCAGCCCGCGAGATCGAAGAAACGAGCGGCCCAGGAGAACCTCAGTGGCGCGTCCGCCAAAAAGACTAAGACCGCGACCAAAGCTTGTCATCGGATCTACTACCGCATGAGAGTTGCAGAAACAGGCACCGGAGACGTTGATATTGACACCAGGTCGGGATATCTCGACTTTTCCGGGGGCGATCATTCCGGAGCAGGGTATAGCCACTTTGTCGGGTTTGCCAATGATTTCTGCTGCTTGTCAGGGAAGATGGAGTTCAACGGCAAGAAGGTGGCGAAAACTCCTCAGAAATGGCCTGAATCATGGGGCAAGCTGGTCTGTACTCTCGGTTAGCTTTCGCGACGTTGGTAGAAATACTTGACGTTCATCTATGGCGGCTACTGGACGGACGGAGAGACGGCTTATCCTGAGCCAACCCTGACAGCTGGAATTTAGGGAGGCAAAGTATAGGAGAGTTTATGTTTTCATACTGTTGTGTGCGTCCCACGTTTTAAACGCTGTCATATATCTATCTCTGATAATTACATACCTGCGACCTTTTCTCCTCGCACATGAAACTCGATCATGCCTGTTTCAGAGAAATAAACCTCCCAGTCTTGAAGCAACTGCCTCATGATCTCTGGCTGTGAGGCCGCCAGGTCTTTGATTTCACCTGGGTCACTCTCAATGTCGTAAAGCTCCCATGCGCCAGTGCCATGAGGCGGAGGCAACAGCACAGCCTTATAAGTGCCTCTCCGTATCGCTCGCATGCCGAAAAGCTCCCATACAGCAACATCCTCACCCTCGCCATAAACCTCGGACGTATCGGAGCCAAGCATGGGAACCCAGGACTTCCCTCGTGGAGTGACTACTTCACGACCGCGAAAAGTAGTGCCAGGATGTGACACGCCGGCCAGATCCAACATCGTAGGCAGGATGTCCATGACATTGGTGTAGGAGTGGCTGATGCCTCCCTCCGCCTTCACAAGGGGAGGATACCGCACGATACACGGACACCGTATGCCTCCCTCAGTGGTATAGCCTTTGAAACCTCGCGAAGGTGCTGTGGCCGCAAGAGCCCATTGTGGCCCATACATAATGAAAGAGTTGGCGTTGCCCATATTCTCGTACGAGTTGTCATAGAATTGCCGAAGTGTCTCTTGGATGCCAAGTGAGCCCATGATGGGCATGGATTCCATAGTTGAGCCCTCAGCGCCGTTATCAGACATGAAGACGATGAATGTGTTGTCGAGCTCGCCACTGGCCTTGAGGTGATCGATGACGCGGCCGATATTGTCATCGAGCTTGTCCACCATGGCCGCATAGATTTCCATCGCTCGAGATGCCACGGCTCTGTCCTGTTCACTTTTCTCATGCCATTCGACGGCTCCAGGAACGTCTACAGGGGCTGGAATGACATCTTCCGGGACTCGATGGAGTTTCTGGAGTTGGCGTAGACGTCGATCTCTGAGAGCCTTTGGTCCATCGCTATACAAACCACGGTATTTGGCAATCTTCTCTCGTGGTGCCTGCAGTGGCCAGTGTGGTGCGGTGTATGCTAGATATCCAAAGAAAGGCCTCTGTTTCTCCTCTTCCGTGCGCTCGTCTAAAAAGCCGAGAAGGCGGTCGGTGAAATAGTCGCTAGAGTAAAAGTTCTCGGGCAAGTCTCTGCTGCCGTCGATGAATTTGTCGTTCTCCATCCAGAAGCCAGAGCTCTTGATGAACGGAGGAAGTTTCGCGTCAAGCTGTGGCTCATAATTGTGGTGGTTCCCAGCGCCAGGGAGAAAGGAAAGACACTTGCTGAAACCACGGCTAGAGGGCGAGGTTTCGGCAGTCATGCCCAAATGCCACTTCCCCGAGCACAGAGTGAAGTAGCCGGCATCCTGAAGTATCTCGGGCAAAGCAGCAACGCGAAAGTTGAGATAGCCTTCGTATCCTGGATGGCCGTCGTACTTTTGTCGCGAACCCATCATGAACTCGGCCATCTGGCCTAGTCCAGCAATGTGGTTATCTGTGCCGGATAGAAGCATGGATCTTGTAGGTGAGCATGCCAGGGCAGTATGGAAGTTAGTCATACGCAAACCATCCTTGGCAAGACGCTGCAGGGCCGGGGTGGATATTTCAGAGCCATATGGCTCCGTATCGCTGAACCCCAAATCGTCGGCGACGATGACGAGAAAGTTGGGTCGTTTGGCTGGTTGCATGGTTGAAGGTCAAAAGAGAACATGCGAACACAAAATCAGTTGATAATGTACAGTTCAACTTGTCAAAGAGCAAAAGAGACTTGAAAACTTTAGCATCACAGTAAAGCGGCTTTATTACAGATTATCATGGCTATTGGACTAGACGAAACGCTTAGATGCTTCACTACTCGGCGGATCTGAGGGCTAGGTAGAGGCCCGAGCCGGTGCCGCGGCGGGAATGCCGAACGTGCGGGGTTACCCCCAACACGTACCGTCCCCAAGACTCTGCTGGCAACTGAGTCGAAGTCTGTGTATTTACAGACCGCGCTCGGAATTTCCGACCTCAATAACATATTTGTTCAACGGCTGTCGGTGATGCTCAATCCTGCCGACCAAGTGCCGAAACGAACAGGTGGATCATATGGATGAATCGAGCTAGAGAACTACCGGCTGCCTCTCCCCGAAATCTGGGGTTTGCGGGGGAAATCCGAGCCGAACTGGTACAAGTCTTGAATTATGCGATTTCGAATTCCTCTTAAATATTGCTTACAACCTCTGGGAAGCCATGTGATCTAAACTGAGAGGCAATTGTGCTGTCGTTTCTACCAGGCGTCAAGTTGTTTTCGGTTGAGTACCGAATCTCATACTGACTCAGTTTTTTTTTTTTTTTTTTTTTTATACATGCTTTTCATACATGTGCAGAGGAATCATGAGAACTATCTGGCTTCCAGCGCGGCGGCTGCCTTTTAGCCAGGAGGTCACATGGAGTATGGGGCTGCTCTGCCTCATTCTCGGCCTGAACGTACTCAGTAATGGATTCGATCTGTCGGTTTACAATACGATCCAGGCCATGGACTGTGAGTGAATACCGAACCTGCCAAGATTTGTCAATTCTCTAGCCATCGTTGATGAGCTGTTATTGATATTATATTTGCGATACAGCTTTTCAACATCGATTTGGGGACATTTGTGACGCGAAAGGAATTTGCAAAATCAGCACCACAAGACTTTCTCTATTGAACTCGATCCCCTTTATCGCCTACGCACTGGGTCTTCCCTTTGCCTCCATCATCGGCGAAACTTACGGGCGACGAGCTGTCTACGTCCTGATCAGCGCCCACCCCAAGGCAATCAATCAAGTTTGAGGCCCATAATTAACTTAATTGCTACATCGCAATGCTATACTTAATTAATTGCTAATTAATTGTAATTAATTAGCAAATATCCCTATATATAAGTGAGGGCTCTAGAGGGGGGGCTCTAGAGGGGAGGGCTCTAGAGGGGAGGGCTCTAAGGGGAGGGCTCTAGAGGTGAGGGCTCTAGAAGGGAGGATCTAGGAGGGTAAGGTCCGGAAGGTTAGGGCCTGGGAGGGTAGCCCCTAGAGGGGAGGCCCCCAGAAGGGGGGCCGGAAGGGGGGCTAGAAGGGGGGCTAGAAGGGGGGCTAAAAGGGGGGCCCTAGAGCTGGGTTTTTAGGGCTAAGAGTTAGGCTAGATTAACGATTTTCCAGGCTTTTCTAGGTTCCTAAGCCCCCTTAAGCCCCCCCTAAGGCCCCCCCTATAAAGCCCCCCCTAAAGCCCTAGTAGCCCCCTCCCCCCCTATTAAAAGAGTTAAGGTAATTAATTAAGTTTAAGCCTTAAACTTAACTTAATTAACTAGCGATAGCTTTATAATTAATTAATTAATTAATTGAACTTAATAAGTTTACTTGCCTTGTGGGGAGCGCTGGTCCTGATGAACCTCATTTGCATTGCAGGTGTGTGCGTGACGTACACGTCGCAGTCATTTAGCCAGGTACTCGCAGGTCGTTGCATTGTCCACATCTACACGGGAATGGAAAGCTGGCTTATTCCACTGTTCATCGCCGAGGTCGTTCCAGCAAAGATTCGGGGCATGCTTGTTTCCGGCTACATGATTGGACGCCTTCTTGGCACGATCATCATCAGCTGTGTATCTTTTGCCACGTCAACATGGCCAGGAGATTCATCCTGGAAGACGCCAGTTGCTGTACTGTTTTCCATCCCCAGTTTGATGATTCTTGTGACTGCATTCGTCCCGGAGTCGCCCCGATGGCTATTGGTAAAGGAACAATATGAAGAGGCGCTAGTGAATCTGAAAGGTCTCAACGACAGTAGAGCTGGCTTTGAAGGCGAAACTGAACTTGCTGCTATGAAGGCGAATCTCGAGCAACACACGGAGAAAGGTTCTTGGGCAGACCTCTTCCGCGGCACTGATCTTGTACGTTGCCCCATCAAAGTTCCTTCTTTTTCCCTGGACGGTTGTTCAACTGTTCTCAGCTAACCGGGGTCAATTCTAACAGAGGCGCACTACCATTGCTTTGCTTCCACCTTTCTTCTCGCAAGCGACTGGCCAAGCGTTTGCCAACGTCTATGGCACAATATTTTACCAAAGCCTCGGGACCATAAATCCCTTCGTCCTCACCATTATCTCTCAATGCTTTGGGCTGATCGGTTCCCTGTCGTTCATGCTCTTGGTCGATCGAGTTGGTCGCCGCTTCTTCTGGAAGTCGATGGTCCCGTTGGGAGGTGTCTCCATGATGATTCTCGGCGGATTGGGAACCATTCGGAACCCGACACAATCTGAGAAACTTGCTACAGCTTGCATGCTGTCATTATTCGGATTCTCATTTCTGGGCTCTCTTGCACAACTGTAAGTTCCATTATTGGAAGTCCTCTTCTGTTCATCATTCATTACCCCTAAGTCTGTCGCGGCTCATTGTTTGAGCGTGCCTACATGTGACCAGACTTCAGTCATGACTAATTCATTCGGTTGGCAGGGCCGCTGTTACCCCCGCCGAAGTTCCTTCGCCTCGTCTGCGTGGCAAAACTGCCATGATGGCGTGGACCGTAAACAACTTTTCCAACTTCATCGCAACGTTCACTTTGCCATACCTCATGAACCCTGGGTATGGCAATCTCGGACCAAAGGTGGGGTTTATCTATGGGTCATTCAGTCTTATCAGCGTTGTCTGGGGCTTCTTTTGCTTCCCTGAGCTGAAGGGCAAGACTCTCGACGAGGTCGACATGATGTTCCGCGCCAACGTACCTGCAAGAAAGACTAGTTGTAAGACGATTTTCATTCTGATAGCCGATGCTCACTTTCGTAACTAACGATCATCATACAGCCTGGAAAAGCGAAGGATATATAGAAACAATGAATCATGGGAAATTTGAGGAGTCGTAGGCGTATGAGGTCTCCAGTTTTGTGGAATCGTCACGGAAGCTTTCGCGCTTGAAGATGAAGAGAGCGAAAGCCTGTGAACGAGAAATGCACATCTTATATCAAGGAATACCCATAAGACCACATTCTGTTGCGATTCATTTCATATGATTCGGGTATTCAAGGAAAATCCAGAAGGCTACTCATCCACCACCCTTCTGGAAACTCAGTGACCGCGGCGGATGATAGAAACACTTCGCAAGTTTTCATGAGAATTCAGAATCGTCTGTCCTAATCCACTACGTCAAAATTCTCATCGTTACAATTGGTGCTTCACAAGGGCATTTCACTAGCGACAGCTTTCCCTGTATCAATTGACTTACTTAGCAAAAGAGTTTTGCTATCCGGGCGAATACTTCTAGCTATCCGGGCGGGTACTGGATATACGACGCTAGGGACGATCGACGACGACGACGATAATGATAACAATAGCGATAATAGTAGTAAAAGTCAATCGATATAAAATAATGTATCAGACCTTATAGGTAGTTATCCGCCCAGTTAGCTAGAAGTATCCGCCCGCATAGCAAGACTCTAGCAAAATTGCACTGGCATGTCAACGTGGAACGAAATTGAACATTAGGTGACGCCGACAGCTGATTTCCTCGAATCTCATGTAATTCCGGGGCATCTTCTGTTCACGCTAGGACTTGAATTGCTAGATGAGCTTCGTCATGGCTTTGCCGGAACTCAGCTTTTGCCAATGACGGCTACCGCGAGTCGTGCACGGCACTCGCACTCAAGGAACTGCAACTTCTTACACCGACAGCCATGACCGTTGCGCAAGGGCTAGTATTGACGAATATCGGCATCCGCCTCTCGCTTCTCGGATTTGTTGTGCCACGGCAGCACATTGAAACATACGGGATGTACACATACTGGGGTTCCCCGCGCGCCGGCAAATCCGAGCAACCCAGCCAGTGCGGTAGATATTATTGCTACATACATACTGGCAGTCGAAAACTTCGTGAGCCCTATTTGAGAACGAGAGGGGAAAAAAAAAAAAAAAAAAAAAAAGCACCAGCAGGTGTTCTGGTAGGACGGCGTCGCATCTCCAGCTTCATCCTGATGCCTACAAGATCGTCCGTGAGAATAGCTTTTCTTGCAAGTGAGAGTACATGAATGTCAACAGCGAGAAGTCAGCCTATTACCTAAAGCAACAGCCTGAACGATACTTTAGATAAACCTCTCGTCTTGAGAGGCAGTGACGGGAGTCTTGAAAATTCCATGTCAACGCCTGGTGTTCAGATATGGTAGCTACTGCAAGAGGTATGGGAGTAGAATAGACTTGAATTAAATAAGCTCTTATCCTTGAGTTTATTAGTCTTTTTCTTTCTCATGTCTCGATCAAGGTCAAGTTGCAAAAACGATGACTCATGCGTAGGCGCGGCGCCTTCTTTCCCCTGCCATCCTCCTAACATCATCCTTCAACCAGGTGCAAACTCCTCCCCCCCAGCTTAGCGTCTGAGTTCTTAAGCTCATCATCCGTCAACTCCCGACCACTCCTCAGCAGCGCCTCATGTGTGGCATGACGATGCTCCCAGCCGCCACCAAGAGTCAAATTACGCGGCAATTCCACTACTGGGCTTGGATCTGGAAAGACGAATTTGTCGGTCGCATTCCTGTATGCAAGTCCGAGACCATAATCAACCCCAGTCGGATAGAATGGCCCTTCATTTGGCGCGAACTGGTAGTTCATGCACTCTGCGATGGTGACGAGCGGGAAAGACCCGTAAAACTCGTCGTAAGCAGGGTTTAAAGCGTCCTCCAGAGTTCGCACTCTATTCGAAGACGAAAGATCCGGGGGTTGGATGACACTCCAAGGGTGTCTGCAAGTGTCTTGAGTGCATGACTTCGAGACAAGGAGCAGCGCGTTCAGTCTCGTTAAAACGCGAACATGAAGTAGGTCGGTCGAGTTGGCGAGATTCACCAACTCATATGGATCATTCTTCCCTCCCTTAGCATGTTTGAAGCGAAGAGACGATTTGGAGACTCACCTTCGTATCATAGAGCTCTGTATCATTGCTGCACCATCGTGAATACATCCACCAACTGGAGTCTCCCACAACACGCATTGTCTTGTAGTCGTTTTTCGAGTAAAGTCCAGGGAAGGAGATGCCGTAATCGCCCTCTGACCATTGGTGCATCTCGACAAATCCAGAACCCCAGTACTCAATGTTAACGGCCTCCTTTCTCTTGGAAATTTCCGGAGAGTTTGGACTCTTCCACGAGTCGAGCAGACTTGAGCCATCCCAGAACGGCGGTCGATCATTAGGGTCCAATCCCGCGATGTCAAGGAAAGTGGGAGCAAAGTCGACGACTAGGCTAGGATTGCTCGAAACGGCGCCTTTGGGAATACCAGGACCGCGTACGATGAGGGGAATATTGGTGTCTTCTAGATAAGGAAGTGACTTGCCAACACCGGTGCGGTGAGTTCCAAGGTGATATCCTTGGTCCGTGGTGTAGATAACTGTGAGATGATCAATATCACGGCGAATAGCGCTTTGAGGGAACCAAGATTTGTAAGACATACTGTATGTGTCATCGATTGCATCGTTGACGGTAAGCATCTCGACAACATCGTCAATGATGTCATCCACTCCCTTGAGAGATTCAAGTCGGCGCTGGTAGAAGTGGTCGATCTCGGCAATCTGAGTGTTGTTCAAACTGGGAAGCGTCCTCAGCCAACTAGGCTTACCATGTTGGTATTCATCAGCAGGATTGAAGTTGGGAGTACGAGGAACAGTGGAATTGGCAAAAGATCCGAGATATCGAGCGGGCGGCGTTGGAGGATCTCGCAAGTTCTCCACATGAGGCGCGGTTGGAGCAATCATGAGGAAGAAAGGGTCTTCCTCCTTCAACAAAGTGTCCAGTCGATCGAGGCTGGGCTGACAATCAGTATGTTTTTTAATGTACAAGGTTACTGTAAGTTTAGCTGCAATGGTCACTTACGCTTTGATCCGCACGACATCTGTTTGCTGGAAGCCCTGATACCATACAGGTCGTGCGCCGTTCTCCGACATGACAACTGTGTTATGGGCGTTGGTGTATGGATCCAGCTGCATAACGTCAGTGTTGAGTAAACCATGACTCAAGGTGTCGGACACATCTCACCAAGACGTCAATGTGTCTCCAGCCTTTTGGGGCAGGGTTGTATGAAATGATTGAATCTCCATTGAAGAGTTTCCCGACATCTAAATGGACAGTGATGAGCATGTAATGCATGTCATAGTGATTGTCAAATGCGTTGAGTGCTTACACTCGGCGTTGTAGCCGGCCTTCTCCAGCCAATGGGGCAGATATTCTTCTTCGAGACCAGCAGCTCTGAATTTGGGAAAACCTCCTCTGGAAGAAATGAAAAATCAGTCATAGTTTAGCGACATACACACATAACACGAAAATACCCGGGCGCCTTGATGGCGGTGTTATTGGTATTATGTGCATGCTGTCCGCGCATGAGGGACACGCGACTAGGGCAGCAAACGGCAACGCTGGCATAGTGATTGGTGAAGACAGTTCCATGAGCGGCGATGTGTTCTTTAACTGCTCTTTGGGTGTCGACGGAGCCGTGTCGGAGATCCTGATCGTCGGTGAAAATGAAGACAATATTGGGTCCTTTCTTTTTGCCAAGGGCACCAATGACGGAAAATAAAAGAGGTGCAATGAAAATTGAGGACTTCATCTTTGAAAATTGATGAAGTTTTGGTCGAGTCACACTTAGGATAACGTATCTAAATCATCCATGACAACAAGGCGACTGGCAGTGAACGATTTCAGTGACTATTTATCATATCTTCCATATTTTCAGGTAACTTGAACAGTGACTACCTATCATGAAGAAGATTAACTCTTACATCATAGGCCACATCGTAGCTTCGATCACGCGAACGACTATTTATAGGTCCGCCCCGCGATGCAATTACAGTACACTCCGTTGCGTTAATAGCGTCCGCCCCCCCTTTTTACTGAAATTACGCATGTATAATCCCTGTATATATATGAAAATTTACTTAATATTATATAGATATTTATAGTATAGTAATTAACTTATTCTAATAGCTTTAATTAATCTATTTCTATTAAATTTTATTATCTAAGGGTATTATAATACCTCTTAAATATTACTATATAGTTTAGTAAGTAAATAATAACTTTTCTAAGTATTATTTATTACTTATTACTAATAATATATAGAAATAATAATATATATAATAATTAATATAAAATACTACTAAAGATCCTCTTTAATATTTTATTTTACTATTAATTAGGATTATTATACTTATTAAGAGGGCTTATTAAGCTATTACTACTAAAGAAGCTATTAAGGAGGTTATTATTATTAAAGTTAAACTTAAAACTAATAATTTAATAGTAACTAAGTTTATATTATAAAAAAAAAATATATTTATAGCTCCTTTATTATTATAAAGAGCTCTAAAAGTATCTTTTTACTAAAAAGTAATAATAATATAGAGAAAATAAAAAAAAGATCTACTATATATAATTTAGCTCTAAAGTATTCTATTTTTATTAATATTACTATTTTAATTAAACTTAACTTTAGTTAACTTAATTTCTTATTAAATTACTTAATTTATAGATAATATACTTATAACTCCTTATTATAATATTAATAATATATTTATATTATTTTATAATATATTTAAAGAGGAGGATAATATAGGTAATAAAGAACTAACTTTATTATAAATTTAAGTTATTTATAGTTTAATACTTAAAAGTAATAATTTATTTATTCTTAATCTAACTATTAAAAGTATTATATATAATAGATTTAGTATTACTCTTATATTAGATATAAATAATAGAAACTAAAAAGTAAATAATAATACTTAATTTAAAATAGAAGTAGCTTATTTATATATTATAAAAAAAGCTAATATTATTATTATTATTACTTAGAAAAAGCTTATTAATATATTTAAATTAATATTAATTTTTATTTAGGTCTATCTATTTACTAAAGAAATTATTTAGTTAAATATTCTATAAGTTAATATTATCCCCTCTTTTAAATAAACTAAAAAGAGAAGTAAAATTTATTTTACTATTAAGTAGTAATATAATACTATATTAATCTTTAGTAGTATAATAATTAATATATAAATATTTTAAAAAAGTAACTAAATAAATATTTTAGTTAATATATAAAAAGTAATTAATTATAAAACTAATAATCTTATAAATATTAAATATTAAAAAGAGGGAATATATAGATAACTTCTCTATATATATATCTACTTAGAGTATTAGAGATATAAGAATAGTTTAAGTAATAAGAAGTTTAACTAATATTATATATTAAACTAGAAGTATTATAAAATTAAATCTCACTATATAGAGAAATAAATAAAAACTATTATAACTAAATAAACTAATATTAATAATATAAAACTACTTAAAGAACTACTTAAAGAGATTTTTTATAATTAGTTTATAGAGGATTAAAAATATTAAAATAAGAGAAATAAAAATATTATTAAAGTTAATAATAATTAATAGATAATAGTAATAATAGAAAAGAAGGTTAAAAATATTATACTTCTATTATTAAGGTTAAGATCTAGTTTAACTAATATTAATAGTAATATTATTATTAATATATATAGTAATATAGGAGCGTTAAATTATTATTTTTAATATCTTAACTTTTTTTAGGGGTAGGTATAAAGGTACTTCCCCCTCTGTTTAATCTATATTATAGGGCTTAAGGCCCTAATACTCTATACAAATACTTAATACTAGGCTACACGCTGCTAAGAAACCCTTTATAGGAAGAAAACTTAGGCCGCAAGCGTGGTACATAATAAGGCAGATAAAGCGCGCACATAATACTATATAATGATTAGCTAGAGGCTGTTAGTGCCCTACTGTGCATGTGGGTCCCTCGAGAGAGGGACCCACATTTTGCAGCGGGTCCTTAACTAATCAGAAAAGAGTAATATCTTAACTTATATATATAGTTATTATTATTAATAATACTATTACTACTATATTAGCTATATATAAATATTTTATAGTATTTATTACTAACTTTTTTATTATTAAATATTCTAAGTATTTATTAACTAAGTATTATACTTCTAATTTATTTATCCTTACTAATAATATTAAATTTATTTTAAAAAGCTTTAGATTAAGTAGTTAGCTTTATTAAGTAGTTTATATCTATTTATAGTAAGTAATATAATATTAATAAAAAGTTTAAAAAGAAGTTATAGAAACTATAATTAATAAATAGTAGTTTATAAGTAATTTATAAGTTATTAGATATTTAGTTTATTAAATAAGGTTTTATTTAATATTTTACTAAAGATATTAAGAACTTAATTAAATCCTTTATAAATAATAATACTTATTATAGAAAGTAGTTTAATACTTTCTCTAATATAATATCTTACTTTAAACTTTATTTAAATTATTAAAAGTTAGAGGGAGATATTTATATAAGAATATATATTAGATTACTAAGAGGGATAATAGTAGTATTAGTTAAAAACTCTATAGTATTAGTTTTAAATAAATTAAAGTTATCCTAATATATTAATACTTTAGTATTATATTAATCTATTAAATAAGAGATCTATAATATATTAATTAAAGTTAATTAATATAATAAGTATATATAGAGCTATTTATTATTAAATATAACTAACTTTATAAGTATTTTAGAACTCTTTAGTTTTATTTTATTATTACTACTATTAATATTATAGATATTATTTATATAGTTATAGATTAAATAAGATAAAATTAAGTAAAGTAATAAGGATAATTAGATTAAAATCTTAAGTAATATATTATTAATAGAGATATATTACTTAGAAGAGGATAATAAAGAAGAGTAATATAATAAGAGTAGTATAAAGTTTAACTATATATATAATTTTTTATATAATATATTTAATTATAGAAAAGTCTATTTATAGCTATAGATTTAATACTACTACTCTATATATATAAAAGTAATAGAATTATTATTATTTTAGATCTATAAATAATATACTTTAGTTTATCTTAATATTAATTAGGAGTAATTAAAGTTTTTAACTATAGTTAAAGTTTTTAATTATAATAATATATTATTATTATAAATTATTATTATAAGTATTAATAATACGTTTTAGCTGTTATATAGGTAAAATTAATATATATATATAGCTACTAATAAAAATAATAGATAATAATATATTTTTTATATTCTAATATACTTATAGCTAACTTTTTAGTAATCTTATTAGCTATAATTATAGATTTAATAATTAACTATTATATAATAATATAATTAAGATTTATTATATATAAATATATAATAAAAATTTAGATTACTTATTAATATTTAATACTTATAGCTTATCCTCTTTTTTATAATTTAATATTATTAAATATATATTCTATCCTATTAAAGTTAATAAATAAATAGTAGAAATAGCCTTTAATCTAAAGTAGATAATACTTAATTTTTATAGTATAGTTATATAGATATTTTATAAAATCCTAAATATTATTCTTATTATTATTCTATTTTAAATATATTTTCTTAATATATCGTTTTAGATTACTAAAATACTTTTTAATAAGGTTAAAGTTTAGTAAATATAGAAATAGAAACTTAAAATAGATATTTAATATTTAGTATAATATCTTAATTTAAAGTATATAATAGTAAGAGAAGTTATCTATAATAATAATAAAGTTTAGTTCTAGAAAATACTTATATTTTAGGATAAAGTACTCTTATAACTAATAAAAGAACTTATTACTATTAGTTATACTATAGTATATAGTTAAGTATAAGATATTACTTAATATAAAAGCTAATAGGATTTATATATAAAAGTTCTAAAACTAATTAATCTCTATAGTTTAAAACGTAATAAGCTTTTTTAGTATTTATTTAATCCTCTATATCTTAATATCTTTATTAATACTAAATTTATTAATAAATACTAGCTAATTAGGGTAATATTATTATATATAGTATAAATATTTATATTATAAGTTATTATTTTACTAAGTAGTAATAATCTTAGACTTCTTATTTATTTAACTAACTAAGTTTAACTATTAACTAATTATAGAATAACTAATTTAAATCTTAAAAACTTTATATAAGAAATCTTATATTTCTTTAAGAGATAGATTACTATAATACTATAGTAATTTAAGAAGCTTTATATAATATTATATTTCTATTTTTTCTTAACTTTAATAATATCTCTTATATCTCTATACTTTATTAGTAATATTATATTATAATTTATATTATTAAATTATTTATTTAGTATAATTAATAATACTTATTAGTTTATAGGTTTTTTAGTTTTTAAATAGTAGTATTATTATAATTATTAATAGCTATAGATTTAATATTCTAAGTACTATTATATTATTATTATTACTTAGCGTTTTTCTTAATATATTTAATATAATAAACTATAGATATATACTAACTAATAGTAAACTATAAGTAATAAGGTATAATCTATATAATAGTAAACTTTTATTTAATATTATAAATAAGCTAAGCTATTAAGAGATTTATTAATTTTATTAACTATTAAAATATTTACTTTAAAAAACTATATTAAACCTTTTAGTATATTTATATATTACTTAGAGCTATATAAACTATATACTAAGTAGATATATAAAGTTATATAGTAAATCTCTTCTTCTATTCTTTAATAAATATTATTTTAATCTCTTATAATAAAAATAAACTTTTTATTAGTTAAATAGTATAAAAATAAAGTAACTAGTTAGGTTAGTAATACTTTAATAAGTAGATTAACTACTATAGAAGTATAAAATATATACTTTATATCTCTATTATATAGTTATATATTTAAATACTACTAAAACTATAGTAATTAATAGTAATTAAGGTATTAGTAATAACTTTAACGTATTTTATATATAATATAGAGAAATGCACGTTATAGCGTAAAATTAGCTTTTTTTCATGTTTTTGCATAAGCAGGGAAAAAAAAGGGGGGCGGACGCTATCAACGCAACGGAGTGTATAGAGGCTGGCTTGCTCATAACATGAATACGAGTACTCGTATTTCCCCGCAAACACTCTAAGCTAGTAGATCTTCCGAATTTTCTGCTCAAAGCCAGGTTGCGTGTAAGACCATTTGTGAAGCCCTTTTTAGTAATGATTCCGAATGCGAGTATTCACACCCCGCATCTTTCACCGTGACGCGCTGTACTTGGCGCTGGCATCGAGCCACGTTACTTGTTCAGGTTTTCTCACTCCGCGTATTCGGCGTTGGCTCGGTTTTATTCTCATCTCTTCGTACTTTCGTCAGCAGTTCCCTTTCTGGGGAATCTGTCACGGCCCTACAGCATTGAAATATGGCAGGCGGTTAGTCTGGGGTAATCACCGATCCGGGGTAAAGATGACCGAGGGGATGGATGGAGGATTTGAAAGAGACATCCATGAAGTGCATCGATTTTATTACAAAAGCTTCCACTGAGTGCAAGATAATGTGCCTGCAACAAGGAGACCACATTGTTATATTTACGGCATCGTTGTTCTTCTTGGACTCAGTTCGGCATTGGTCTACTGTATCTTCGTTCGCCATGAAATCCTTCAGCCTCCCGAATTTCATCATTAGCATCGGAATATTTCTGCCCGTCGTTCTGGGGGCAAACCTAACTGGTACGTCATGTTGTATTGCAAAGAGGAGCCGTCGAATTTGGCAAGTAAGCTCTAGAACTGACATTTTCTCATCCAGAACGTAACTCTACGAAGTGGAATGAAGCAATCAAAAAGGCTGAAAATCTTCTATCTCAACTCAATCTTACTGAAAAGGCGACATTCGTGACGGGCAAGCTGTCAATTGGCGTCGCTCCGTGTATCGGCAACATCCTGCCCATCGATCATGCTGACTTCAAGGGCATTTGCATGCAAGACGGACCAAATGGCATCAACATCGCAGATCTCGTCAGTGTTTTCCCAGCGGGACTTACGACCGCCGCTAGTTGGGACAAGGGCTTGATGCTCGAGAGGGCAAAAGCAATTGGTGAGGAATTCAGGGGCAAGGGAATCAACATCGCCCTGGGGTAAGTCCATTGCGCTACGGTCCATTTTACTTCCAAAGAAACTTACTGACATCATGTCAGACCTTCTTCAGGCCCACTTGGAAGGCATGCACTCGGCGGTCGCAACTGGGAGGGCTTTTCAGTGGACCCTTACCTGTCCGGTGTTGCCATGGAGCAGACTGTCCTCGGAATCCAGTCGATGGGCGTTCAGACTTGCTCGAAGCATTTTCTTGCCAATGAGCAAGAGCTTCAAAGAACTTACACAATAGTGGATGGCAAGCGGGTTGAGGGAATATCATCCAACGTTGGCGATCGAGTCATCCGCGAACTCTACGCTTGGCCTTTCTACAACGCAATCAAAGCTGGCACAACAAGCATCATGTGTAGCTATAACCGCGTTAACGGCATTTACGTCTGCGAGAACGAATATCTCCTGAAAACTGTTCTTCGAGATGAAATGGGATTCGACGGATATGTCATTTCTGACTGGTTTGCAACTCATTCTGGGGCAAAATCTATCAATGCCGGATTGGATCTCAACATGCCTGGCGCGTACGACGAGTCAACCATTCAGACGGGCCAAAGCTACTGGGGCACGGCAAACATCACCGCCATGATTGACGAGGGTTTAGTCGAGGAGGCACGAATTGACGAGATGGTCCGCAGAATTCTTACTGGCTACTATTACATGGACCAAGACACAAGCGAATACCCGGAAACCGACTGGTCTCTGATGTACACTTTTGCGGCTTGGTCAAACGTCCTAGACCTCTTTCCACCTCCGTACCCTGAATCGCGAGACGTTCGCGAACAACATGGCGATCTCATTCGCAAGATCGCCGCAGAGTCGACGGTCCTCCTTAAGAACGAAGGCATCCTTCCACTCAAGAGCCCGAGGAATATTGGAGTATTCGGCAACGATGCGGCAGACCCTACTGACGGCCTCACCTTCAACCGACAATTCGAGATTGGGACACTTGACGTTGGGAGCGGTGCGGCTTCAGGAAGACACACGTACTTGGTGTCACCATTGGAGGCAATCAAGGCTCGAGCCAAAGAGACAGGATCACGAGTTCAGTACATGCTACGCAATAGCATTATTGCGCAGGGCGACCTTTCGGCTCTCTACCCGATTCCTGAAGTTTGCTTGGTCTTCCTCAATTCTTTCTCTGGGGAGACGCGAGACCGAACCAGCTATGAGCTCGACTGGAACTCAACAGCCGTCGTGGAACAGGTTGCCCGGAGATGTAACAACACGATTGTGGTCAGCCATTCTGTCGGGGTTAATACGATGCCTTGGGCAGATCATCCGAACGTCAAAGCTATTCTCGCTGCACACCTTCCGGGTCAGGAGACCGGCAACTCAATTGTTGATGTCCTGTGGGGAGAAGTCAACCCGTCTGGGAGGCTGCCATACTCCATTCCATTCAACAGCAGCGATATCGACATCCCTATCGTCAACCTCACAAATGCTACATCGCCTGACGCTTGGCAGTCAGACTTCGAAGAAGGCCTCTTGGTGGACTATCGCCATCTTGACGCGAATGAAATCGAACCTCGCTATGCCTTTGGATTTGGCCTAAGTTACACCACTTTTGAGATGTCTAATGAGGTTGACGTGGTGCAAGTTGCCAAGAATCTTACTGCAGAACCCGATCCGTCGAAGTCTGTCGTTCCGGGTGGCCGTCCCGATCTTTGGCATAGCGTCGTGACAATCAAGACCACGGTAACCAATACAGGCCTGATCACTGGAGGTGTCGTCCCGCAACTCTACGTCTCACTGCCTGCTTCTACTTCACCACCAGGAACACCAGTCCAGGTGCTTCGAGGATTTGAGAAGCTGGTACTGGCAGCTGGTGAGAGCGGCGATGTTCTTTTTGAGCTGACGAGACGTGATGTGAGCTATTATGATGAACTGCGTCGCACGTGGGTCATTCCGGAGGGCGTTGTCAAGTTTCATGTCGGATTTAGCTCCCGAGATATCAAGGCGACACTGGAGCATGTATTTTTTCAGGAATAATGAGCTAGGCACAATGTTCTGTGGAATGAACATAACCTAAAACCAATCTTCTGTTATTGCCACCACCTTATCTCAGACCGGATAACCCAATGGTCTCAATACACTGTATATCTCTTCAACTGAGGCTCCATGAACATCTGGTGTCTCCGTCTCGTCGCCCGAGGTCTCATGTTGTGCAATAAGCGACGGTTTCTGCCAGTACTGAAGCCCGGCGTGGCCTTCCAGTATGTAAACCTCCCCTCCAAGTCTTCGCCTAAACGCATCAATGTTGTTGATTGACGGAATCCAAATTGGCTCAGACAAGATCTGATCTCCAGACTTATTCCACCAAAGTCCTCAATCGCAGGGATGTGCGTTGTGCTTGCATAGCCGCTGACAACGGTCGTCTCCCAAGGAAGTGTATCGCCCACAAACATCTCTTCAAGAAGCTGCCAAATGCGACGTCGATTATGTAGTCCAGCGGGTACATATTGCATGTCCGTGGAGTACCCAGTGCAGGCTTTGTCGAAGACCAAATCGACTTGGCGTAAGTATTCAACCCTGTGCCTATCTATCGGCTCTGTAATGTTTCCGTAGTCGATTCCACGACTCAGCTGGCGGAACAAAAGTTCCCAGTCCCATTCAAATTCGGGGCTACCAGGGCATGGCTCGGCGTCTTTGGCGTCGGTCAACGTAGGTTCAACATCCCACAGCCACGGCAGAAGCCCTTGACATCCTGCTTTGAGCTGTTCCTTCCACAGGGCCTGGGGAGCTAGACGAGAGGAGATGCGCGGCATCTCTCGTGCATCTAATTCATCGAATATCGTATTCATTATCTCGACGGGCATCCGGCTTAGGTTTGCGGCAACCCCGGCAGCCTCGTTTGTGAAGCTAACACGTGATCGACACGGTCTAAGATTTTTCAGAAGACAGCCGGTGAGATTCTTTATCTCCAGAGGGTTCTGGGCCAACGCCTATCATGGTTAATACCTAGTAGAGCGAGTCATTTCACAAGCGTTGTACTTACATGGAAAACGTTTGCTCTTGTCGACGAATGAGGTCCAGGCCAGTGCACTTCTCCAAAGTCATTTACATCCCATTCTGGATAAGGGAGATAATAACCATGTTCCGCGAGCGAATAGTTCACGCCTGGATTGAAACAGCTGGTGCACTTTGAAGTGGATACCTTCCCTCCAGCGAAGAGCAGTGAACAGCCCTCGTAAATGTCTAACATGGGCAACTGAAGAAGATTTGAAGACTTTCTTCGCTATTTCCAGACAAACGGTGTGTACGGCAGCGTAGGAATGCTCACCCAAACCCAGGAAGTAGTCCATATAGATGTTCAAGTCGCGTTTGCCATCGGGGGTGTGCCGTGTGAAAATTGGCCCTGAGCGATACTCGCCGCGATATACCTCGATTTCGGAAGCTTGAGACCTGGGTCTCACTTCAGACGGCACTTTTAGGCTTTCTCGAGTTTCAAGAAACCCCCATGACATCTGATCACATTCAAAATCGGGGAGAAGTTGTTCAAATTCGCAGTCTGGGTCGCAGAGTAAGCGGATGTCGCTGCACCACTTCAGTTGTTCCTGAAGCTCTTCGTCTGTTACCCCCCATTGTGGCGGATTTTCTCGCCACCAACCATACCAGCTCCTGTAAATCCTCATGCCGCAAATTTGACATTGTGATCGCTGTCGGTCTGTTCCCAGACGCTCGTTCTGGGCTCGGAGTATTCTTCCGCCATCTTGTTGAAACGTCCAATGAATGTCACCAGTCGAAGAAGAGGAGGGGGAAGCTGTGCATGTCGCAAGATACTGCTTGTCGGTTCTGGCCGAAATGTGGGAGGCGGGAAGATTTGTTAAGATAGTTGAGACTTAATTAAAAAAGCAGAGATATTGGCAGAGAATGCGACAAGTATAGTCTTCATACAACGTCAATTCCATCAGAGGTTTTATCATGACAATTCACGCACAGATAAAATAACATAATGACCTTGAAAAGACTGTCCTACTCTTAAGTTAAATAAGCACACGGTGAGTCACTAAACCAGGTTTCGTGCCCACCACTGAGTCTGTCGACAGGAGCGCCACCTGCTGCCTAGTCTGCCAAGTCCGTCCTCAACGAAGAGACCAAAACATGTGGGGCCAAACATGAGAGGCAAAAAAGAGGCCAAAACTGAACAACCATCACGCGCCACACAGCAAACTACAGACACCCCAAGCACCCCCCTACCACCAGGCCATGTCAGTTTGTCTCAGTGTATTCGAGCCACAGTGTACCTCCCCTCCTCTAATATGATGGCTGAAATAATCATCAATGAAAGTTACATTCATCCCTGCGCGGGAATAAGCTGCTCTCACGGCTTTCGCTAGAATGTCTTCGCCGCCAATCACAGGGCCAAACGGGTTCGGACTTAAGTACTGGTTTCCGACCACAATACCGTTGATTGCACCCGGAAGAAAAGCTCCAAGTTGGTATTCATCTTTCAAAACAGGAGGCCAGTAAAAGTCTAGGCCGTCAGAATTGACATAGACTCCACCCCCGGACCGATCGCGAAACAGGCCGGGTACGTGTATGACGTCGTCGCGATCAAGTGGTATCTCAGAGAGAAGGATGTCGAGATTATGGTTGATCCACTTCTGGGCGTATGCATTGATCTCCACAAATGTGGCGTTGGCTAAGACGTCGTTGATGGTGAGGTTTAGGTACAGCGGCATGTCCACTTTGAACCGGTCAATTTGCGGCTGGGCGTCGAAACTGATAACCATTGCCTCTCCATAACCAGCTTCTTGAGCTTCTAGAAAAAGATTGATCGCGAGATCAGGGGTGGCAATAGCAATAGTGAAGCCCAAATCGTTGTCGTACGGGACGAACTGAACAAACTCGTCAACATGCCCAACTCGGAGCCATCCTGTCTCGAGGAACAATGTCGACTGTACACCGTTGCTGAAGATCAGGTCCCGAACTGCCTGAGCCGGGAAGCTGTCATAGTGCTTGCCTTGAATGACACGACCGGCCTTGTAGAAAATTCCGCGCTTGGATCTGTGGGGTGGAATCGTTTCAAGGTTGCCGTAGCTGTTGATGGTATGATAGCCGAATCCAGACCCAGGAAAGCCAGTACCAGAGTAGCCACTAGGTTGGAATGCGCCAAAGCCAGGACCTCTCATTTGCTCAAAAACTTGTCGGCCTCCCGTGCGAGTGGACTGCGCGGACCGAAGCATGATGCGGATGGCGATAGGCCCTTCAGGACCAGGCATACTTGCGTAAGCCGGTTCGACAACATCTTGAGCCCAGATGTCAGAGGACTGGTTGAAAAGCCACAGTGGATTGCTGATATTAACGGCCTTTCGTGCCGCATCTAATTGCTCGATAAAATATTGCTGCACAGGGTTCGTGTCATTTGCCCAAGTCGAGACCAGCGTCTCCACCTTTTGCAAATGGTGATGCGTGAGGATTGGGGCCACTTTCAAGGCTACAGAGTCCCTGGCGAAGTTGCTGGAACCTGGAGTATCGTAGACATCGAAGTTGATTGTCACATGACCGTCCCAGATTTCAGAATCTTTCACAAACTCACGGCCATCGATTCCTAATGTAAGACCGGCCCGAAGTTGAGTTGCGTTGAAGTTGAACTGCCTGTCTACCAGGCGCCACGAGCTCGTAGAGTTGGGACTTTCCACATCGTCAAGGAGAAAGACTCGCACTCGCTCATACGCAGGACGGGGTGTTGCGTACACATGGGCTATTGCCCCATCGGAGATACTCGGAAGTGGCATCGTCTTCAAAGGAGCAGCGTACTCCGGCGCTAATAGCATATGGCCTGATGCGTCATTGCAGAAAGCTAATTCGTCGTTGCTAAGTGGCATGCTGTTTAGGTCGGTGTTCGGGCATCTTGAATGTTTGTCTCCGATATTGGGGAGGAATATGGCGCCCCTTCCTTCTGTCCAAATGGCTTTATTTCCAGCGTCGGAGTCGCCTTCCATATCAACGACACCGTCGCGGTTAGTGTCGGCGCGAATATCAGGTATGATTGCGCTGGCTACTGAGACAACTTGAAGCGCCCATGTTATCACTGGAAGCAATATGCGTAACATGATGGTAGCGGCTGAGAGAATAGTCGAGGTGATGTTGGTATGTTGCCGAGTTTGATACGCGACTCTCCAGATGGGTTGCAAGTTCGATGCCTTAAATGCTGCTTAATGGAAATTCTGCCAAGAAGCCACCAGACCTCGCGAGCTGGAACTTTTGCGCCTAATCCTCAGTTCAAATTTCTTGGCTGAGTTACAATGTTCTGTTGATCATCGTTGATTTCCTTGCATGCAATCCATATACATTGAGTAAAGCTGGCAGATAATGCCAAGATGGTTATCGCAATGATAGGAGTAGTTGTTGTATTACTCTGCGAGATTCACGGCGGTCGAATGCTTCCTCAGACACAATGACGGAGGAAATCGCGCAAGTTGAGGTCAACGATCTCTTCAGAATACAACCTTATCAGCGGGGCTTGAAGTGATGGTGTTTGGGTATCAGTATCTTGACTTAGCGGCAGTATTCATGCCGAAGAGAATACATATGGGCCTGCCGTCTTGGGCAATCCTTGCTGCACGGAGGGCTGCATGATCCTTTGCTGATAAGGATCTTCAGCCAATTACAAGACCTGCCCCTCACATCCGCTGCGACTGGCTGACGACCGACTTCACGGATTTAAGACGACATATTCGCACCGTCCTTTTGAAATTGTTCTCATTATGATGAGTTGGCATGCAGCCAAGAAACATCTGGGGGTCTTTCTTGGATTGGAACGCTCTGCATTGTTACAACTCTCCTAGGCATACGGCAGAATCGAACCACGGGGAGATACCCACACGCGTGATGACAGGCGCGAGATGCGCGAGATAATCGCGAGATTCATACGGTGATTGAAAGCCTGGAGTTCAAGAATGATTCAAACTCAGCATAATCACCATCCGAGCTTACTCTACATTTCCCTGTCGAATCTGACATCCCCGACAGGAGCTCATCTTACA